AGACCCATTTGGCAACCTAAAATACTGAAATTGGGCAGAGGTCATTGTGAGTTCAAAGGAAGTGAGGAATCTAATATTGTGTGAAAAACACAGACATCCTTTAAGCAGTACTATATGAAATTCCTGTACTTTTGAGACTCACAACTGACTGTTAAAGAACTCAATATTTTTTGTAACGAACATCACCTTACTATAATGAAAAGAAAGTCTTCCCTTTCAGGTAATCAAACACTTAAAGTGAGAAGTTCAAACAGTGGCCTCCCATCTTTGATCCAAAAATGTGGAAGGAACAGGGCAGTACTTCCAGACTTTTCTTCGCATATCAGAGCCCACAGCTGTGACTTATGGACCTTATGCTGCTTCTCCTTTTCCACACCTCTCACAATAATTACATTTCATGGAGAGATGAAAGTGAACAGGTGGCTTTTTTCTCTGCTTTCTGTGTTTCAAATGTGGGGGAGGAATTCATCACACCGTGCTGTTTCATTGCACATTTACAGTATCAAAGCAAGCACCTGCACACCAAGCTGCTTTGCTCACTCACTTTGTATTTTATGATTATTAAATGTCATATTAACGGTGGTCTTGCTGAATGTGAAAGCAGACCAGTGTTTTTGTAACACACACTGAAATTGATGTGCCTCAGTCAAGGACAGTTGAATCAGAAGTGGAGTTGCTCCCCAGGTGAAGCAGTGTGTCTCCTAAAAAAATGGGTCAGGTCAAATTCAGAGGACAAACTGTACGCAGGTATTTCTAAAGCACCAATAACCTCAAAGAGCCACACCATGCCTAGCCTAATACTGGGGGTACAAGATGCTGCATTTTGCATTAACATACCAGACAAAACCACAATATACTCCTTAGACTGCAGTAATAAAAGAGGTGTAGTGCTGGAGCAAAATCATACAGCGCATATTTCCCTCCATGACAGTAATACCCAACTCTCCCCTAATCCCGCAGCTGGGTCAACCTCCATACGTGCAGCTCATATAGTGTCGGGAACTGGAGGTGAAGGCTCACATAATCAAGTGCTCCCACTCCTTTCTCACTTTCAGCAAAGTTGTTGAAGTTAATACTTTTCCTGAGCCCATGAATATCACCAGAGAAGCTGCTAGCCTCTCCACAAACCTTGTTCATTTTAACACCAATGACTGCTTAAAAAAAAAAACACACTCCAAACATCCGCATCATTAGCGCATCAGGTTATACTGTATACAGTTCATGTCCTTCCCATAAATATATCAAGTTGCAGTTGAAAATTAAAGTCACACTCCAGAGATTTTCCTCATAAAGATCAGCTTACTTGTCATGAGCAGCACCACTCATCAGCAGGTAACGATTCAAGGTCAGTCCTTACTGCCATCAATGTGCAGCTGTTGAAGAGAACCAATAACTGTTAGTGTATCATAAGGCCATGGGGACGCTATAAAAACTACATTTGGGTCATAAAAAACAACTTAAGATCATGCTGCCAACATTACATCTCAGGAAATGTTAGTTATTTTTATACTGTCAATGCTGTATTTTGGTGATTTATGTTGAGGTTTGTTTTTTGGGTGTTAACTTCTTGACCTTAATACCAATTTTATCTTTGCTCTTTTTGTACACTGTATAGTAGTATCCATAAAAAGTTAATCACACAGGAAAATATGCATACGGTAAGTGCATCTCCAGTATATCAGCTGACTCCACTCTCATCTTGGACAGCTAATACCCCTCTCCCCATCAGGCGGGTGATACAGTGTCGCATGCAGCCTCTGCAGATACACAGAGTCTGTTGTTCCCCTGACAATAAAACTGATTAACTCAGAATGATAGTCTGGGTCTCCACAGCACAAACTCACATCCCTATGCTTTCCTCAGTTCCTATTATTTATTTATGCTGAGCGTACAGTAATTTCACGAAAAAAAATGTCCCCATGGTGTATGTCATTAGTTGTAGTTTGATATATTATATTTTTTCTTCTTCCGGCGCTGCTTTTTTCATGTCCTTGCGACTGCAACTTCCATGTTCAAGACAATTTTCCCTGCCAACCAGAATACAATATATATTGATCCAATCTAATTTTCTTTTGGAATAAGAGAGTGAGAATGCAGGAATATTAGGATCTTATTCCCTATCAGTCTGACAGCACAATATATAATTTACTGTTGATCTCACTATAAAATTAATCTTTTGTAAGCGGTGGTTAAGAACTTGTAGCTATCTGACCTTGAACACTTGTCCTTGGCCTGGCTTTTATTGCAACCCGCCCACATACCGGTACATCTGCACACGTTTATCACCCTCTGTAAAAAACACTCTGCCTCTCTACAAGAGATCCCTCTCAAGCCCCGTATAACAATTTGACACTGAGTTTCTTCTGTTAGGTGAAATTGTGCAAGCACAATTATATTACCCTTACAGGAAACCTTGTAATTATACATTTACATCAAAAATTATTTATTGGACAGCCTTGTCAGCATTCATTAGCATGATTCACGCAAATAGACAAGCAAAGAGATGGCTCCTGCTGATGAACACCTTTTGCATGCATAATGTTCAAAATCAGTCCCTAACTTGATTGGACAGTATCGGTTAAAATCTCCATTGATATAAAGTTGTTAACAATGTCAGCAATGTTACACATAGGGTTAATCAAATCTTCCAGTCTCACTTCATTTGGCACGATTTATGTGTGTTTGGGAATGTCAGTGTATAAAGTATCAAAGTATGTTTATATATACAGTTTATATACAGTTTATATACAGTTCATATATATTTTTCTAAATATAAGAGAAGTCTTACAGTCACTGTTGTTCCCTGAAGCGATGGAAAACAGATTTGCAACAAGTGAGATCACCGAGTGATGATAAAAGCGTCAGCTGAGCCGACTGACAGTGATTTGAGATGACACTCACTGTGGCAGCTTTTCTCTTCGACTCCCTTATGGAGACCCTGCTGGTCACAGTGAAGACTGAGGAAAATGCACTCAAGCTCAAACTGAAAATTCTAACTTTTCCAAGTGCTATCAAGCCGATCTCTCCATGGCTCACACATTCTTTCATTTCGAAAAAGCTTTGTGAATATTAATCCGGCAATCTGAGCCCCAGATTTCACAAAGGTAAAGGCAGACACTTAAAATGTTAAAAACCTAAACTTTCTTTACAGTTCATTTACAAACTACATGTCATTTACTGCTTCACATGATGGAGAGTCCACTTTTCAGCTCCTGTTTCCAACACAATCCACAGTATTCTAAAGGGTTAGTCCAAATGTCAAAATAAGATATCCACAGTTTTAAGAGGGCCAAGTGAGAGAAAGTATAAAACGACCTTTATAACAAAAGATGTAGTTGGATTTTTTTAAATCTTAAAAGGATGAATCGTGTCAGGTTAAGCCTCAGAGACATATGACCAAGTCGGCCCAATCTCCCTGGATGATAGAAATGGGGACGATGGACTAAAAAGGAACATAGTTAGAAAAGTTCACAGAGCAAAATGAAGGCACTAAAATCCCTTTAGTGACTATAATGATAATCAAATGTACATTGAAAGCTGCAGTCAAGGCAAGGACATCACTTTGTAGAATAACGATACTTAAATCATTTCAATCTGTAAAATCTCAGCAGGAGTTTAAAGGTCAAATCAACACAAGGTAGACCAATAAAATAAATAATAATGAAAGAATTCTGTATTTTTCTGAGCCATAATAGACCTAATAATAATATAAACCAGCAGTTCAAAATTCCAACAGGGGTTAGCTCAGTTTATCTAAAAACTCAGAAGCTGCACTGAACAGAAAATAGACAATGTCTTTTGGAGGAAATACAGAACTACACTCTTCTCCCTGTTTGACTGCTTTGGAAGAGGATTAAAGCTTTAAATTCAACATCAAACAAAGTCTAACTCGAGTCGGAAGTTGTTGCTGACACACTAGAAAAATTGGCGAAGCAAGCATGTTGTGTGGACCTGCTTAGAATTAAGGAGTATTTCCCTCAGTGCTGTCTTACCACCACTCATCTCTCCATGTGTGGGTGAGTCCCTCAAGGAATTTAACTTGTTTCCTGCAAAAAGGCTACAATTCATAGGTGTGAGAGCAGATGTCTCCTTGACTTATTGCACTGGTCAAATGCCTGAGGCTAAATGACTTCTCATGAACTCGAGTTGGCCTTCTGTACTATTGGGACAGTGTAAATTTAGCACCACATTACTAACAGAGGGACATTTTCTGTATTACAGTAGGTCTTCCATGGACTGACAGTAATGGCATTTTCAGATTTTCATTAGCGCAGTGTAATTAATCTGAACTAATTCATAGAAATCAGAAATCAGGTTTTTCTAATGCTTTCGCTACCATGAGGCAGCAGCCGGCTCTATTTCTTTCTGAATGAAGTATTACAGCTGCAAATTATTCTTTTAGCGTGGCAAACAGCCAGGAGGAAGGTTTAATTCTTCAACTGAGACTCAAGGTCTATAAACGACCTTTAATGGTCAGCAAATCATTGGGTCTGCCAATTCATTTTTTTATATGAGACAAATCATTCTTTGAGAAAAAAGGTCCTAATGAAAAATGTGTATAGACGTTGATAAAACTAATTTCTACCTCATTCTGCAGGATATCAGCTTATATATATTACAAGAAAGTATGTCTATGACATTCATGCTCCTTTTTAGTTCCTGCAATTGGGTTCAAAGAGAGCATTGAGAAACAGAGGGTCTTGAAGTAGTAAGTAAGTAAAAACAAAAGTAATGTAAAGTTAAGACTCTTATCTGCCTAAGCAGCAGTTGGACCCTTTTAATAATGGAGTAATTCTAAACCTTCAGCTTACTTTAGAGCTTTAATGCCTTAAACTGCCAACACAGCATGTGTTTTACTGTCTTAGTCTTAGCCTCAATTAACCTTTAACATTAGAAATAACTTCTGGTAATATAATTTAGTTTATATTAGTTAATTACTGGTTTAAACTAAATCATATTTTAAGCCTTGAATGAAAACGAATGCACACAGTTCTGAAGTATTTATACTTTTATGTCAAAATAGAGCACATTGTACAGCATTAGTGATTTTTTTTTTTTAAAAGACACAGTATCTCCCAGAGAAGATCTCTGTAGGGTTGAGATTATTCATAGGATATAAATATACACATAGTGTGCATATTTTCAAAATAACATGCAACTCGGTCATGAAGACACTCACAGATTTAGTCATGGACACACACTCACATGGTCCCTCTAAATAACACTTCAACATTAACAATACAAAAACATTTACATCTGTGAAGGGCAATACTTCAGGTCCATGACCACACACACACACACACACACACACACACACACACACACACACACACACACACACACACACACACACACACACACACACACACACACACACACACACACACACACACTAGTTGTGTGCTTAAAATGTTTATAACTCTGTCTTAGTGCTTTTATCCAGTCCCTCTGCAGCTTTTGTCCTCAAGTCATCCTTCAGCCATTTGTTGAAAACAGCAATGGGGTCGATGTTCCAGTGTTTATGGAAAGAGATGGGCACCTGGTGAGCTAAGAAGTCTCTGGCGTAGTCCTCTGGGCGTGCCTGAAAGATAAGATTAAGTACAGTAATTTATATCTGGAAGCAGCGACAAGAGACTGTGTGCAAGTGCTACAGGCAACAAGAATGAAGGCATGAAAGAGTATGTGGAAACAGATAGTGCATACTGAAAACTGAGCAACTGGGACCATTGTTTGTATGAAGGGATTCAAACAAGAATAAATGTTGAGGCAATTTGTTAATTTTATTGTCTGATTCATTGACAGAGTAACCATTCATTTTGGGTTAAATCAATATGTTGCTTTTTCAAACTGATTTCACTCATCTCTGCTAATCGAGACAGTGAGTGGTATTGATGTCTTTTGGTTGACACAACTCTCACTCTGCTGTCTGTGTTGAACACAACATGTTGAAGTTATTAAATGAACAATGGCTGAATTCCATTTAGATTCTTCAGTTTTGTTATTGTGCATGCTGGCTCACTGTCACAACCTACTGAGATACTTGCCTACCTACCATACCTCTTGTTAATGTATTGTTATGTATAAAATACACACATGCTTTTCCTAGTATGACAAGCTGACTTCCAACTTGACAACATGGATGCCCATTCGGATCCATTGTAATTGTAATTGGACTTATATATAATTTATATAGTGCCTAAATGTCATTGCAAAATATCTTTAACCTTTAAAAAAACAGTTCTGCAGAAATCAATGAGATGTCCAATGATGTGGATAGTTGCAAGTTAGACACATGCAAGTCATCCCATGAGCCCCATGTGGCGTGAATGTGACATGATAATGCCTCACATATTTATTCTGTTTGCTCTCAGAAATTCCTGATATCCTTAATTCATAAGTATTGAGATTTAAGCGCATCGTGAACAAAAAACACCTGTGGGGGTGTGTAATGCCTTTGATATCAGAAATTGGCCAGTTACAAATAAGAATTCTATTGGCACTAAGCCGAAAAAACCTTTTCCAGTATATTTTTGCTAAAGAAATATTGTGATGGATTTTCATTCCAAGAAAAGAGGGGGAAAAAACTCAGTATGACCACCTTAGGTACAAATACACAGACGGGGACACACAGAATGTATTGAAAGATTGTGAATACTACCTGGTGGAAAAGAGCACTGTGTGTGACAGGAAGTCCAATGGCATTGAGGCACATTCCCAGCACCATGTCATCCGGCGCATCATTGCTGTAGCACTTACAGCCACTGTTCAGGAGCTGGACCACAGCCTCCCTGCTGAACACCATACTGCAGCCACACAGAGAGGGACATCAGAGAGAGCAGATACACAACGCAGCTACATTCAGACAATTTAACTGAAATGTAAATGATCAGTTTAGAGTTATTGTTAGAAATGACCAGAAAATAATAAGCATGTCTTTCAACTGTCATCTTAAGCTTATGTTATTCAGTCGGTAAGAGGGCGGCAGCGTAGTGAGTACAACTGAAAAACAAGCCGTGAGGGAGATGTGGCTCTGCACAACAAGGATACGACATCTCTTTGAAAAGAGATGCAATTATATATGAAGAAACAAATCTCGAGCTGCCATAATAAAAACTACTCATTGCCACTCAAAACAGTTATTAGAAGATATCACTTTTGAGAAAAACTGGCAGTTGCAGGGCTGTTAAGTGTCACGGCGAGTGAAGTAACCCTGAATAGTTTCTCACACTGTTCACTCAAATCTACTGATGAATCTGTTGGAGAGCTTTGCTCCAGCACTGACAGCTGAAATATAACTTCTACTTATTGTCCACTTGTTATAAGAAAATAAGTATCTTTTAGAATTTGTATTAGTGTACAGTATGTTTTCTTGCAGTAACCAACAGTTTGTATACTGTAGTATGAGGATAAAGTAATGACTCCCTCTCTTGTCTTATAAACTGACCGTCTGTTTACTGCATTTTGTGGTGATTTATTCCACATTTTTATTGAGTATATTTACTGTAAGGCAGCCTGCAAACCACAGGGAGCTGCACAGCTTTAAACTGAATTTAAATGATGTATCTGTAAATAAAATATTACAGGTTTTCCATTACATATTTTATAGTCTCTCTGTTGCATCTGTATCTTTCATCATTATTCCCTGAGCGTCCGAGCTATGAAACTCACCCTCCACCTCCCGTGATGTAGCTGTAGCCCCCTTGGCTCAGGCCGTAGCCGTACCTCTCCCCCAGACACACGGGTTCAGATGGGTCGTAACAGCTCAGCAAGACCTGCAGTCTCGAGAGGCTACAGGAAGCAAAGATCAGACTCATCATACACTCATGATCATTATACACACACGTCTCTGCAGGTACACACATATGAAACTGTCCATTTAGTAGCTGAAATGACTGCCCTCCCTCAGGAACTATAACACGCCCAGAAGCTTCCACATGAAGGGGCAACCTTACGGATATAAGTGAAGCCGGCTGGACTGGAATTTATGCTCTGAGCTTTTCAGATGTTCAACAGGATGGTAATATCCAACTAATTTTCCCCTAAGTGACTTCATTTCCAGCGTTTCTCTCTTTCGATGTGCAAGCCTTTTCATGGCTGTGTGAGCAGAATCTGTTATAAAATGTATGAATACATGTCACTCAAACGCCGAAGAAGAATGAAAGCATGGCATTTAAAGAACGAGACATTGTGTCCCAGTCAAAAAAAAAGGGAAGAAACGCCGGTTTGAAAACCCATTTCTGAAAACATGAAAACATACCTGATAAGTGTGTCGTCGTCAACAACAAGGAGCCACTTGGTGTTTGGGACAGAGCTGGTCAGAAATCTTTGAAGGATTGCAAATGTTTTCCCACAGTGGCCTGCAAACAGAGACATGCTATCAATATACTGGCCTGTACGACTTCATCACGCATTGACCATGTGCTCTATGCTGGAATACAAAGATAAATGACCTTTGTGGTAAGAGAAACACACTTTGCATAAGCAGGCATTTACATCCACAGACATGACTGCATAAACAAAAACCCACACACACAAATAATTTGAAAGGGAGTCAAGCATTTCTCTGTTTAGTTTAAAGAGTGAATCCATTTTTCAGCATGAATTCCTAATGTGGGAATCCAACCTGGATAGTGTTGATATTGTGCTCTTACTGATAAGCTAAATAATCATTATAATTAGTCTGTTTTAAAACAATATACAAAATGTAGCAACATTTTGTTAGAGGAAACAAGTTATCTTAATATGAGCCTTTTAGGAACAAGTGGGACTACTGTGTCCAAGCCTAACAAGGAGGAGAACAGCACAATACATTTTGAACAAGTGGTATTCTACTCAAGGACACCTCAAAAGCATTCAGGGCTTTACAGTAGGCGGACACTTCAGGGATCAAAGAAGAGTCACACATTCAGCTTTGTAAGATGCCTATTGTACAGCATTAAAGGAAGTCTTCCCAATGCAAAGACACGCTGTCTCGGGCTTAGTGTGCAGGTAGAAAGCTGGTGCCTATAATCTTCAGTGATGCAAACACAGGTATGGTTAAAAAAGAGAGAACTATTCGAAGCAGGAAAAAAACAGCGTAATATACCATCTGACAAAGGCCTGTGCTATAATGCTTCAATTAACTGGCTATTCTTTATAATATACTCAGATCAATAGGAGACAGAGATGTTATAAATCAAGGGTTTTTATTATTATTTACAGCAGGGGTGGGAAACCTTTTTCCTTTACATTTTTACTAAATCCTCCGAGGGCGGTACAAATTATTGAACTCAACCTCTGCTTAAAAAAACTAAAATCACGGCCAATTCATTTGGCCTTTCTTTCATGCTGTGCAAAGAAAAAGCAACCTCTTAATCCAGATATCTTACCATGACTCGCGCATGCATGCATGTGCACGATGTGGCATGACCACCAAAACAGAAAGATATGGACACAAGATGTGTGCAAATGTATTTAGTATCCATTTTAACATGATTTAAGTGGGGGGGACCTAACCTCCTCTAGGAGGGTCTGGGGGCATGCTCCCCCGGGAAGATTTTTTTTTAAAATATTGAAGTTAAAACATGTTAAAAGCATCAATCTGGTGCACTTTGAGAGCAACATGAGGAGATCTATGGGTACATCTTTCAACACCCATTTGAAACAGAACTGTAAGCAGATTTTTCTTTTTGGATATTTTACAAATCACTTATTTTTAACAACTTTTTTGTTACTGTCAAATAGTATTTTATACCTGTTTTTCATTTAATCTCTAATGTCTCATTAATAATTATAATGATCATATCAAGGTGTGCCTTAACCTCACTGAGCTGAGGTTATTTGAGCCTCTCAGGAGAGAGCTCTCTTCCACCTGGTTGTAGAAAAGCTCTTTAAATTCGTTAGCATAGCTAGCTAACCAGATGCTAAATAACAAACAGATCCGCCACTGTGCTTACAACTAAAGACACAGCCACGCAAACACTGCGGCATGTGTACGGCTCCTTATGGGTACTGCAATATTTGAAGAGCTGGAGCGGCCTTCCGGTGCTCTCCGTAAGCACTCTAGTCTACACTCCTTTCAGACGAGACATAACCACGTGAAGACACGTTACGCTCGTGTTGTGTTCAAGGAACCTGTCCTTGGCCAAGGAAAAACAGGCACTCGCTTGTTTAATTATGTTGCGATCTAGATTTCTTCTTCTTTTTTGAAGTGAGAAGTTGTCCGTCAGTCGGACGGACTAACGGACGGACGGACTGACGGACTCCCCCCCCCCCAAACGAAAACTCTTCGGTTCTCCACGAATTACACAAGTCACCCAAAGCAGCGTTAAAAAAGCGGGAGGCGCCAAAAAGCGACTAATTTGCATCACTGAATCTTGCATCCCGAAGATATAATGATATGGTATGTTTGGTATGATGGACCTAGAAGATCATATTTTTAGTATGCCGTATTTGACATGCCTGCCATGTGGAACAAAATGTTCTGCCAACTCCTGGAAATGAAAAAAAGTGATGTGATAGTAGACAACAAATATAAGGAACCCAACGAAATATAGTCATCAAATACCTGCATGCCATCAGGACTCAGAGCTGAGACATGAAAATCCCTGGTGGCAAGCGTCACAAAGAATACTGAGGTATTACTGTTTTATTTATAAGGCTCCCACAGTGTTATTTTTTCCTGGAATCTGAATATAGAATAAGTAAGGACACCTTGAACTGCTGACAGGAATAAAATCCAAAAATGCAGTTTCAAAGGCAGATCTCCAGACAAGCATGGTAATCTTATTTCTAGTTGGAGGAGGTTAGTTAGTGACATTCAGGGCCATGGCAGCAGGTTCCATGTTCATGTCTCATGCATCTTCTATAATTTGAAAACTCGAAAAAGAGACCCTACCACATGAACTTGACTATGAATAGTTTGAGTATTTACTTGATAAAGTTTGACTTCCAATTTCAAAGTCTTGCATCACCTTCCCACTCACTTGACTATCAAAAACTTGTTACCTCTGTGGAGATTACCTTTCAATTTTCAATACTGTATTTTACTGAAAAGCTTTTCAGCTTTTAACATACTTCAAATTTCCTTATGATCACAGTTTGCAGCAACATTACCAAAATACTTTAGAATGGTGTGAAAGCTTATTTTTAAAAGGCAACCAAGATAATGGGTTTTATGGTTTAAGTATAGCCTTTAGGTCATTTTTCTTGATGTAATGTATAATGCATAGTTTCAATCCATCTATCTTGACGAAATGGAAGGATAAGAACAAAGAGAGAGAAAAAAATGGTATGTCCTGACTTTGAATGAATTCTAGTCTGATAATGGATGCAAAATGGTTTTGGGTGTTTGGCACAGATGCTTATGTTTGACCTCTATCATATACCATTTGATACAGGCTTATCTGATTAACACAGTTGCCTGGGGCTTACATTATATCCCCATGTGACCGACTGCAATGCATAGATTTTCTTAAAGACGCAGAATGATACTTGTTTTCATGTTGCTGTTCAATCAAAGGTCAGTCGTCTTAAAGTCTCCTTTTCTTTAGACATCAAACTTCAACTACTGTAAGGAAACCTACTGTTTGTATTTTAGGATATATTTGCATTCTAAGCGCTCTGTCTGATTGACAGTATGCATAGTTACCAAACAGAGAGTAGCTTAAGTATTTGGCAGCTTACCAAACCAGAGAAAACCCCCTGCCTTGATGATGGACAGTGGATTGCTGCCAAACTTCCAAGACTTAATTGTTGTCTCCAAAAAAGAAATGCTGGCATGCAGTGCAAGGCAAAATGAAGGGAAAAAAGGCACTTTCTCCAAGATGATCTACGAGAAAGAATGATCAAACTCTGGCTTCAGAAAATACTGGAATCATTCTGCAGTGTTTTCTGGAGTAAGCCATTAAATAATGTAACAGTCGCTATACCTCCACCTCGTAAAATGGGAAGATTTGGTGGTTTTCATAGCTATACCATATCATATCATAAAAAACGTAATACCTATAATTTTTGTTTGGGTGTCAGACAGCCATGTTGTACTGGGGTCTATTATAATCAGTAGTGTTTCTGAAATCCGAACTACACAATATAAACACCATTCAGTATAATGCAAACATTTACAACATGACCAATCTGAGTCAATAAAATGAAATTAAAACCATGTGCTCTTTTAGGTAGAACATTTATTTTAAAATTATACCACATTGAATTGAAATGTTTCCACGTACGTGTAACCCTAAGTAGTTATTCACTGTATGACGCAATCAGTTAGCACGTCATTGTTCTCGTCAAGCCACGTTTGACAGTGGTTTTGATGTTTTAAAATCAAGGTCTTTTAAGTTTTGAAAAAAGAAGAAAGAGTAGGCAGGTTTCAGCCAAGCTTGGCCCAAGTAAAAACAATAAAACATAATTGATGCATTATATGAAGAGCAGCACAGTGGTAGCCTAGCTGATTGCACTGTGACCTTCCTTTGTATTATGCCATTTTAAGTTGTTGTGCCGTTATGATGAGATGCATCAGGATGCCAGGATGTAGTGGTTGCTGCAATCATGCAAAGAAACACATTTGCATTTACCGGGGGCATTTTGTTGTCAGAAAATGACAAGGACTAGGCTGAACAAAATGCAAACCACATCCTCATGCTCTTCACAAACCAACAAAATGTAGTCTGAGTGAGACGTTTAATTGGTTTTAAATCAGATTTGAGCTGTGGTGAAAAGCATCTTCAGAAACCTGATCAAACTTTCTTTGTGGCTATTTCTCATTTACGTTTAAAATCATCTAATGAAAAGACTCCAGCGAGGGTACAGTAGTAACTGGAGAGCTTTGACAGTTGGTGCAAGAACTATCTGCACTTCAGTGTCAGGAAGGCAAAGTAGATGCTAGAGAATGTGTTACAAATTAAGAAGCCACTGGGACCTGTCACTATCCCCGACGAAGAGGCGGTGGAGACAAGGCGGCTCTCAAGTACGGGTGTTGCATATCAACAACAAACTGAACGGATAACACAGTAACTTTACGAGATAAGGTCGACTTTCATTCTTGGCGAGTCTCAGCTTTACAGCAGATAAGCCTGCATTTTTAAGAGAGCTGAAAAGCTGTAAGTTTGCATCCTTCCCTGCTTCTATGCAAAGGAGTCCCTTGTTAAAGAGCTGAGGTGCCTGGAGTCAGTAACTGAGGGAAGGCTGGAGACTAAACTAGACTCTTTCGAACAACAACCCCTCACCCCTCCTACAGTTTGCTGAAAGCAGCCGATGCATCATCCCATTATGTGCAACATGAGAGGTCTGAGGTGCTGTTTTGTGCCGACAGCCATCAGACTGTAAAACAATTTCAGCCCAAATGGGTTCTGGCTCAGGGAACCAGGAGGCTGCAGAGAGCTACCACTGTCTTTAAAAAGTCCCCTGGATAGCTTTGAGTGGTCTGACACTCCATTACATGCTTTCGTACATGTACATGTGTCTGATTATCATAAATTATTCATCTCTAGCATCCAGCATCTCCCTCAGGAGAAGCTTAAGGATGTTGTTGGGCTTAAGCTTCTCCCGAGGGACGTCGGCTCTCAGATCGAGCGGAGTTTTCCCTCCTGAAGAGCCATACCCGCGACACCTACAGTGGGAACCAGTGGGCTTTGTTGCCATGTGCATCTTCTCAAGGCAAAGGAACAGTAAACTATTGGTTTTTCTACCTATTTTCAACTTACTTTTGGGTATATAGATGTAAAAAATGCTTCCATACGGTTTCATCAGCTTGTTCCTACAAGATGTTTTTTGTGTGGTGCACCATAACATGAAGTCAAAACATCAAAGAGGGATTGTGCATCATTTGACATACTTTTTCAAACTGCAGTTCCAATATTGATGATAACACTAGAGATCTTGTCTAGAATTGTAAATGAGGTTCTCTAAATTTGAAGGAATAGAGAACATCACAAAAATCTGCTACCGTTGTGCAGTATTTAACCACATGCATGCACACCATAGACTGTATAAAGCTGCAGACACAGCAGGGTGAAGAACTTGCCTCATTTATTCAATATCTGGTACGTTTCCCGTTCTTTGGTTGTGTTTAGTATGCTATGGAATGTAACCAGTTAAACTATTGAAAAAATAACGTTTTATTTGTCTTATTCACAACTCAAGCTCTTTTGATCTTGCTGCTCTCTCTCTCGCTTATTCGTTGAGCAGGGGGAGAATAGACCGACTTTAAATGATCTGTGTTTACAAACTGCTAGCATGGCTCTGTCTAAATACGTTTGATTGCTTATTTTGTATGTACAAAAAAGGTATTAATGAAAAGTTGTAATTTTAAGTTGTGGTTATGACTCGGTTTCTGGTATCTACTCTTGTTGCCTGGAAACCAAACGGTGATGGCAAGACCAAGGAAAAAACTGCTCCTGGCCAAGAAATGTTCAAGCACATTACCCCCCCATAAAACCAGTGAGCTTGACAGGTCTTAGGCCGATTGTATAACCTTGACAGGCCAGCTGTTCTCTGTCATTATGCTGTCTAAGTTTAACTGCTTGCTGTTGGTTCATACTTTAAAATAGGACGTGTATCAAATCAATCATCTTATTTGTGCCAAGAAAGCATAGACATTATTTGAAACATTACTAGTCTTACAAATTGACCACTACTTTTTAATAAAATTACACTTGGCCTAGCCACGACGTTAGTAAAGATGGACCCAGCAGTTACTCTAGCAAACGTATGAAAATGACAGATTTTCACCAAATCTTAGGGAAAATAATATATCATCGAATACTGACAGTTCTACAGTCTGTTGAAATCAGCAGGGGATGTTGGCCAATCTCGATGTGAGTAAATGTGCCGTTTATATCTCTCAGTTGGCGATAAGCTCCTCACATCCAAAACAAACAGAAGGCCCTGACACATTTATCACCTCGGAATTATTCTGAAAACAACAAATAAAATAATCATGCAATAGTTTCAAAAATATCTTGGTATCATACAGTTAAGGAATCCCAACATAATTGGGTAAAATCTCCACTTTAGTAATACACATTGTATTTTTCTATGTAGCTCAGCTGACCCTGCAGCATTATCCAAGGCCTGTTTGTGATGTTGAGGCTGAAGGAGTTTAGCATATTTATTTATTTACCAGGGACAGTGCACATTAATCCACATTCAGTTTCCACCTCAATGTAAATATGCCAGGGTTAGCTAATGACCTAATTTATATATGTAGTCCATGGGCATGTTTTTGCATAGTGGTATCGATACAAGGCCTCAGCAAGCAGTGCAGTAAAGCACATAACCACACAATATGATACAACACAATATAATAAAATACAAAAGTATATAACAAAAAGAGCAGATATTTAAAAACAATGAGTATGTAACCTTGGTGACATAAGGTTTGCTTTGCTTTAGAGATCTCTTCAGTTTATGTTTAAAGGTTAGCTGATGCTCTTCACTCAACAGGAACATGTTCCAGGACACAGACCACTGGTAGTTGCTCTGGCTTTCCTACCACTACCATCCTTTCAAATAATATACTGACTCATTGTGGGAGGTTCAAGCCCCTGTTAAACTATAAAGACGAGGCAATCATCTGGAAAGTGTGGAAAAATCATATACAAATTAATGAACTGTACTTTTGTCTGGACACCTTTGTTGTGTGAGCTAGATGAAAATAAGATAGTCAAACAGCAAGTGAACCTCTATTTGTCTGCAGCCATAAGAATTGTTGAGTTAAATAACATTGCATTTTTGTTGTTTGCTTTTGGCAGGATGACTATAAAAGTTGAGTTGCCAACCTTGTTGTTGTTAGTGAATATCTTGTGCAAGACAACAAATTAAATAACCTGCAATTTTGTTATGAAATTCAATGTTTGGGCTCTGTTGCATTGATGTCTTGTCTTGCCTTTGTGTGCAACAAAACAAAACAAAGAAAATATGAAAGTTATTGGCATTTCAGGCAAGTGTCGGTTTGTGAAATACCTGATTTAGTTTCAGAGTTGCCTGGCTTGCTTGTTAGGCAGTATGTTATGTGTGGGAGAACAACATAGCATGCATAAAGAGGTTGGCTGAGTCTGTTGCTAGGTATGGAATATGACAACATTTATACAGATTGAATAAAATAGTGCTGGCAACATTTAAAATCATTAATGGATTGAATTCTAGGATGATACAAAGATATTCCGACAACGCCTTGATCTTTTCTTTATTTAACAAAATAAAAGTGGCACTTACCTCTTTCTGTGTTTGGAACTCCTAAATTAATGGTTGGTATGGCTGGGTCAGCATGGTCACTGTAGTACTCTAAAAAGAAGGCATCCTTTTCCCAGGTCTTCTTTATCACTGGAACTAGAGCAACAGAGACACAAATCAATAGTGTTCACTGTTCACAACAAACATACCTTTGGTTCTGTACTGTGTTCACTTCCCGGAGCAAATAAGCATTTCATATTTATTGCAATATATGGCTTCTCTTATGTTTTGGTCTGTTTTAAAAAAAGAAAATATTACCGTATATTAGCAAGGGTTCTAAAGACATAAATCATAAGGTTTAAGATTGAACATAGGCAACAATTGTGGTTCTTTAATCCTTTAACCTCTTTTAATGTTTAAGATGATTAAGATGAAATGTCAGAACGAGTCATCAGGACAATGATTCAGTTTGTCATTTGAGGAATTTCAATCAACAGAAAGCACAAGAAGAGCAGCCGTTTTTTTTCTTCTTTAGTCGAGATTTCCCATAGATTTGATTGGGATCTGACTGATGAGTGCTGCAGGTTTTGTGATGAGTTTCTGGGATGTCGAGCAGAGAGTGTATGCGGGCTGGGAAAGAAAGAAGAACCAGAGATCTGCAGCAGCAGCAGCTCCAGGATGTGTTCATCTCTCATAAATCAACAAAAGTGAATTAGAGAGGCAATGAAAGAATCAAACTGAAAAGTTGAGTTGGCTGACCTTACCTGCCGCTCAAGGCTCAGTAAGTCCAGTTAGGTCCAACTATCATAATGCTTTTTAATATAAGTGCATTGAAATAAATGAAAACCAAGCTTCAAATTAAAGAATCTCATGCAGATGAGGGTCTACTGTCCCAATCAATAGGTGTTAGAGTGGTTTAAAAAACAGACAAAATGCATCCTACACGTCTTAGAACAAAACCCAACCTACACATGGTGAAACATTAGTAAAAAAGAAAACATAAGTTTAGCTAAATATCAGAATACTGGTAAAGTAAACGCTATGCGTACAACACTCATACTGTTCTGAAAACAGTTGAAATAATTTATTGTTAAAATAATTACAAAATAAAGAGATGGGTAAAGGTACTGTACTTGTTATTTTAGTGAAAACGTTAGTGAAGTAATAATGGGAAACCTCTGTTTCCTAGTTATTTTTTGTTGCCGAATTAAGGTACCCAATAATTAAACTTAGTTATAAAAGTTGAATCTTTCATATTGCCTCAGTAATATAAATTCTGTGAACTACCGTGAAAAGAAAAAGGAGATATCTCTGGGACCACATCAGATTGTTGACCTTATTTTATATGAACTGTATTTTATATCTAAGCGACTGCATGTTTCCACGGCCTCGAATCAGTGTGGTATCATTGTTTTTGTATTACTTCATATAATCAATACTGAAGTTTAAAATAGTTTTGTGATAGCAACATTTAATGTATTAAAAGGCTGTTGCATTTCTTATTGATCTAAGGTTGAAATAGAAATCAAATATCCATTTCCATCTTGTCTGCATTTGAAACGGATAATGGCAGCTTGCCAGATGAACTGGTAATTAGGGTAATTTGTGCAATTACTTTTGAGCGCCACTCTTTGAATGTAGTGCATCATTTTTCTGTTCCCTCTGAAAGGAATCTGCAATTTGATCTATCGACTGAACCTGCTACATTTTTATCAGGTTATAAGAAGATTCAATGTAGATAGGTTATTGACATTGTGACGACCCCTGCTTTACTATCGTCAGTTGTGTGTGTATGGCCCTTTAATGTTCTCCCTTTGTCTGTGTCAGCGTTGATTGAGGACACCTGGCTGCCGTTACCGGACGAGTAAAAGGCCTGAGCCAGAGTCTCATCGCTCTCTCCGCTGAGGACCTGTTTTGGGAGAGCAGCTACTTCGTTTATGCTTCTGTTTTACCTTTACATTAGTTTTGGCATTCAAACACCTCGCACCACACCATGTTCACACACCCACATCTACACTACTGATCTTACTGATTAACACATCACATTGGGGTAGCTTTTGTGTTAACGTTGGGTTATTGTAATAAATATATTTTCTTATATCTTGTCCTTTCCACACTTTTGTTATGGCCACGAACCAGGCCGTGACACCATCAGAGCTTGCAAATAAACAGCTTAACAGAAGTAGTAGATTTTTTAGACATCTGCAGGATTGTCGGAGGATTTTCCAGTGTCGAGAAGTGCATGCAATTATGAGCTTCAAGGTTTGGACTAAATAGGCCTACTTTCAAATCCTTTCAGGCGTAATCGTATAATAATTAAAGCTTAATTATGGTGTCACAGGTGAAGCGAATCCGTTAAGTGAAACAACAGGTCAAAAGCAGGAGCCATTTAAAGGTACATTGTGTATCTTTGGCAGATTTTGTGAGCACGGGAGTGTGACTTACCTCTTTCACTGTGAAACTTCCTACACGTTTTCACAGCAACAAATATATCTTCTTTATTTACAGGCTCCCCCTTTGATGAAAATAGGAGACACAAATCACAAAATGTGAGATTCCTCACATGAACATCACACATACTCTACATCACATATCAAGAAAGTATCTATTTTATATTCAGCCAAATAGTTAAAATGTATTTTTTCAGGCAATAATAAGTTTCAAAGTATCAGTGGGAGACCGAGTTGATATCTTCAAAGGGAAATTAGAATTGGATTTTTCTGTAAATGGTCTGATTCTCTTCAGCTCTCCCTCTGAAACAAAAGACAAACAGCTGATAAAACTGCAGCTAATGTAACAAATTCAAGACTTTATGCTGAATTAGGTGGTAGCCTTGGAGATGAAAAGAGGAGCAACATGGGAGCCTGGGAAATGATACATTAAATGAAAGGGATTATAAAACTGAAAATGTAAAATCTCTGATCCCTTCCTTATTACACTGAACAAAAATATAAACGCAACACTTTTGTTTTTGCTCCCATTTTTCATGAGATGAGCTCAAACATCTAAAACATTTTCTATATACACAAAATAACCATTTCTCTCAAATATTGTTCACAAATCTGAAACAATCTGTCAGTGAGCACTTCTCCTTTGCCGAGATAATCCATCCCACCTCACAGGTGTGGCATATCAAGATGCTGATTAGACAGCATGATTATTGCACAGGTGTGCCTTAGGCTGACCACAATAAAAGGCCACTCTGAAACATGCATTTTTGCTTTATTGGGGGGGTCTGGGGGGGTCCGAAAACCAGTCAGTATCTGGTGTGAGGGTTAGGGTTAGGGTTAGGGTTAGGGTAATGTTGTGAATCGAGTGGCCTGTGTTCGTCGTCCATAACATACGCCTGCCCATACCATAACCCCACCACCACCATGGGCCACTCGATTCACAACATTACCCTAACCCTCAACCCTAACCCTAACCCTCACACCAGATACTGACTGGTTTTCGGACCCCCCCAGACCCCCCCAATAAAGCAAAACTGCACGTTTCAGAGTGGCCTTTTATTGTGGCCAGCCTAAGGCACACCTGTGCAATAATCATGCTGTCTAATCAGCATCTTGATATGCCACACCTGTGAGGTGGGATGGATTATCTCGGCAAAGGAGAAGTGCTCACTATCACAGATTTTTTCAGATTTGTGAACAATATTTGAGAGAAATGGTTATTTTATGTATGTAGAAAATGTTTTAGATCTTTGAGTTCATCTCATGAAAAATGGGAGCAAAAACAAAAGTGTTGCGTTTATATTTTTGTTCAGTGTACTTAGAGTCAAACATGGAAGAGCCGGCAATACTTATTTCTTAATAAAAGCTCAAACACTCACAAAGACACACTCAATTCTCAGACAAAATGCATTAAAAATGTGTGCTACATTAAAGATGTCATCAGCTGCTGCACAAACCATCACATCTCCAAGAACATTTGTAGACATGATGTGAAGTAAACTTCTGATAAAGCTCGAGCATAGAAAAGTAATCTGAAAGCTTAAATGATAATGTACAAAAATCTGCAGCTAATGACTATTTTCACTTGTCATTATCTACTGTTTGGAAACAATAGCTTACTTACACATGGAGTGGCTACAGAGCACCATTAGCTTTTATCTGGAGTCCAATATTCACTCTCTTTAGTTCCTTTTTTTGGGGGAAATACGTGGCTCTTTAGCTGATTCCATGCTCTGCTATATCCACCAGATAGTCATTAACCCAGTCTGTCTTCTTTTTTTTTTTAACATAATTGTCACATAGAAAGGCAATGCTTTGTTGATACAAGACCCCAACAACCTTAAGAAGGCGTCTGCATTTCTATTATTCTTTCCTTCTCAACAAAAAAGCACATGTTGTGATGATTGTCGTACTTTGCCTCCTTGAATCTGCCTCTAGAAGCTCTTAACACTTATGCTGAAGTGGCCCCTGATTGGCTATTTGTCTTGTGAATGTTTAAAACAATAGCAGATTACTTTATGTCCCATCTTGTTGTGTGTGATCCAAATTCCTCCCTGAATACTTATTAAACTTGTGACCTTAATGTTTCTCTGCTGGCTGCTCAAATATTGACCTTTGGTCTGGTTACATGAATGCAGTTTTATATATAGTGATTGAAATGTACGTTAATATAATCTTGTTATAACTAATTGGATTACAACAAACATTAATCAGTCTTTTGACCACATAAGGCACATCCAGTAAGTGGCTTGAATCCCATATGAAGAGCATCGGATTGTTAAATTGTGAAAGATGGCAGGGTTGAAAATATCTGACATCCCAAATTCGACTCGCCTCACCAACTGTCAACAAAGCTCTCATAAAGTTATTGATTATTCCAGGGTGCTTGCAATTGCCACCTGAAGAATGGTCACGTCTTCTCAGCTCACCAACCAAATGTTCTCTCAGCAAACAATATACTAAGAATATATCACATACCATGTGGAACGAACATTTTTGTGATTCAACACTCCAACAAGGTCAGAATTATAATATCCTATAACATGGAACATTTTTTGCGATAAACGCAAGTGCACCGGCAATCTTGATTTAAGTAGACTTACATTTTTTTCTACATGACACTGCAAGTACCGACCTTACTTCTGTGTGGGCCAATAATGATATATTTTCACTAGCTGGCTCCCACTCAGAGGCAACGCAACATCAAGTACGGCCTCAAGATACTGCCAATTATTATTATCATCATCATTCTACAGTAAGAAACAGCCTGACCCTAGAAATCTTTTTTGCACATGCAACTCACTGTTATATATTTTCTCTGTATTATATAGTTGGAAAGAACCTACACATAAGATCAATTTCTGTAATACGGTTTCTAATACACTTAAAAAGACGATCCTATTCAACGACTAATTAAAGTGCAGTGTAGCACCAGTTTCTGTCAGTATCGCTATTGGTTGTTTCATTGAAATAACACTTCTGCTAAAAAAAAGTGTATTTCTACAAAGAGACAACACAACCAACTTATTCGCAGGAATAAATGATCCCTTAGACGCTTATGCTCTATTTATATTCACCACTTCACATTTGCTCATGTAACAAAAATCTGATGACTATGTGAGCAAGGGCCAACAAAAGAGATAAAGAGGATAAAGGAGAAGAAGAATTTTAGAGTTAATTAGTCATCAGCTTACATCGCAGATTTGCATGTGAATTTCTATTTGCTTGGGCAAGACAATGAAAGGATGAAGACGGAAGGCAAGCCAAAAATGTGTTTTAAATACTTTTAATCTTAGAATAAAACATCAGTCAGAATTGGAGATGGATACCATTGACCACATTATGATGGGGGGAAAAAATGAGGTCGTAACTCTAGAAAATGAGAGGACACAAACGGATGTTGCTAAGCAACGGAGGTGTATGTACTTTTTGGTGGATTACTAAATCTAATTTAATAAGCAAACTTCCTGTCTTTTTAGGTTAATGCACAATGTTCTACTGAATGGAGAATAAAGGCAGTTACGTTGAAGGCTGCGCTGTGAAATATTGGTGCAGTTTCCACGTTGCCGTGGGCACAAAAAGGCAGAATATCGTACATCATCAGAGAACCGCCAGTATATCACAGTGAAGTGCCCTCGGTTTTATGTTGTTTAATTTTGTTCTTTTACCATTTCCAGGGAATTGAGGACAACCTAATTGAAGTGCACACAGAGCCTGTACTCACACACAGAGGAGGCGCGGTGCTCAGAGACGTGGCGCAGTGCTGGGTCTGGGGAGAGCCCTCCGGCTCTGTGCACAGCTCAGGAACGCCAGTGAGATGTGGACCGTTGCCATTGTCCCAGATATACAAGGCAACCTGTAATAAACAAAGATGTTTTTTTTCAAATGTTAAAGCTGAAGACAAGATGCAATATAACAGAGATTAATCCTTTATTATAAAAATGTACTGAAGACACATGGAATGCTTCACTCCTCTTTTATAGTAAACAACAATTTTGCTCTCACATCAAATGTAACATTTAAGATAGCTTTCAAAAGACAGACCAAAAGGGAGAATTTGAGAGCTGTTGAATATCACAGTACCTCTTTCTGATTAAGAGCAAAGTAAAATCTAGGATATAGTTGAACTATTCTACAGGGGACGACGCAGCAGTACAGTCAAATAATATGTAATGAAGACAGTGGCATCAGTGCTGTCTGAATAAGGAACAGTCTCACAGAATAGGAACTACAGAAACTAAAAACTGATGTTTTGCCGATTTACAGCCTGCAGCTAACATACTGACAGTGAACTGGAATGACATTGAGGAGGCATGCCATATTTGTCTGTATTTGACAACATACAAGTCATCTTATTATGTACTGAGGTTGCAGTTGCATGTTTGTGATGTGCATTGTGTTGTTTCACGACCCATTAATCTGCAAAAGCACAATTTTATAATATGTCCATTGATTCCATTTGAAAACTCAGCATCCTTTAAAAAGCATACATATAAAGAATATACGGTATTGTAATTGGATCTTGGGACTGAGATCATGCCATCTCTTCCTGAACAACCTTTTACCGACTATGCCTGATAAGTCCGGCGCTGCGTTTACTCAACGAAATCCCGAGGTGCCTACCCGACTGAATTTCAGTGATAAAAATAAGAACCTCAATGCTGCACCATGACAATTCTCCAAAGTAATGAGATTTCACTTCAAGGTTAGATGGATTTCATGCCTTGCTCTTTTTGTGTAAATAAATTATAGTAGGTTGGCACTGGCTCAAGTGTGAGAAAGGAGAAATGTGTGAGAATATGGCTAAAAACCAGCAGTCTCATCTTCACTCCAGCAGACACAACAGGTCTATGACCGTGTAAAGTGCATGTTAACTCACCTCATGTTTCAGGTCAATGGTGAAGTCAGATTTAAGTGGTTCATTTCTCACTTTGTCTGCAAGCCTAAAATAACAAATCACAGATTTATGGTTGATGTATGACATAAATACAAAACTCCACAAAAAATATTACTGCAATGATAACATAACGACTCAATTCCACAGATACAAACAGATTTACTGCCCGTACTCACCGAACAACAAGGGGGGTGCTTAAGGCCCAAGCAGCAACAAAGTCGGGATATTTAAAGATGGAGGGATTCTCTGCAAACGCGTAGTGATGAATGATAGTCGACTCCTTGTCATACAGGGGCTTACCGAGAAACCACTCCTGATAAATAAGAAGTGAGGGACAGGATGTCAGCATGAGTGCAGGTAACCCGTCTTTCCTGTAAGATGTTACACTTTGTCATTTTATTCTTGTACCTTTAACATATTGAGTTAATTTGAAACTTTTAACAATGCCAGAAATCCTTTGGAAGTATTTGTAGTAACCACGTTTGTCACTGGCTGGGAAAATAATGAGATAACAGAACAGGCAGAACAAAGGTCTAGACTATTTTCATAATTGTTGATGAATATAGGCTAAAAATAATCTTATAGAGAAAAAACACAACATGGGATTTTTCTTATTGCAGAGTTTGATATGAAGCTGGATACACGTATTGTGTTGTCAATCTTCTCAAGTAAGCCTACTTCCCAAAATTGCTTTAAATGTGTACTGTATTAAAGTTATGTAGTAATTCTGCTAACCACATTTTGTATTCAACACACTGACGTGGTTGCCAGTAGATTCATCTAACATCTGACCTTTTTCTCCACAGGATGAGTGTGTGGATAATAATGAATTACAAGTATGGCTTAAGTACAAATGGAAACAGAAAAATGCCACATTCTCTAACATGTGCCATTTTTGGCTATTTAAACAAACTGGATGGAGAAAGCTTTAGCTAAGATTGGTTTAGTAAAGATCTTTCATTAGACCCACAGTGTACAATTTTCTGAATGGCAGCATTTATCTAATACACTATTTATATTCAACCCATATACAAAAATAATTTCATGAGTGGGGACACAGAGCTTAAAGGAGGTCTACAGCAGAGACAGGAGTGACATGTCTGACAGGTTACAAAGTGAGCTGGCAGAGCTCAGTGAGGATTGAACCAATGATCAACTAAGCTGGAGCTTTGGTCTCGCTGATGAAATTGGCATAGAGAGACAGAGCAACACAGACAGAAAGAGACAGGAAAGGGGGTTTGGAGGGAATATTTAATACTTACTTTATTCTTGTCAAATTTTGAAAGGACTTGAACCAGCTTAGTCGTCTTTACATTTGTTTCCTCCTCAAGAAATACAATCCAGGAGGAGTTTTTCCCGAAGGAGTTTGATAAGCTGAGACAAAAGAAATCAAAACTAGTGTTAAATAATGAACCACAAATAAACGGAACATTGCCATGCACACACAAACTCTACAGAACATTCTTTTTTTCATTTCAGTCCATTGTGAGGTAGTTTCTAGCTGCGGCTTCTGACCCAGTCAGATCAAGGCAGCCACACAGTTTCCCTCGAGGGGAGAGAGGCAACAAAACATCACAAGCACACAGACTTCTTTCAGAGAGGGCGGCTCTGTAATGATTTGGGATGCTTTTGGTGATCTATGTCCTACATCTTTATGATGGAGGAAAAAAAACAGACTCCGATGTTATTTCACAGCTTCCCAAAACTATTATTGAACTTATATTGGATTTTTAGAAGGCCCACACATGTAGATGACTGGAACTAATGTCATTATCATGCTGCTCAGGCCACCAAATGACTGCAGTAATAGGGTTATTGTTGCAGTTATAGAGACATTAGGAATGTTTTTATTATAATGTGAGGCAATCAATCACAGTTATTGTGTAGATAATAGCTTCCCAGCCATCTGCAGCCCTAAAACGTGGTTCAAAATGTCCTAAAAACCTAAATATAACTTCCTAAATCTCAACTGACACAAAGTTTCTGACATTTGTGTCACATTTTGAACCCTTAAATCAACATTCTCATTCGATCCTGAGAGTGCAGGCATACTTACTTGGGCAGCAGAGGAAGGATACTCCAATCTCCCTCGTGATCTGATAAACTATGAAGAAGCAATACCACCGGTGGTTTCTGCACACAAAAAAACCAGCATAAAGAAAGATACAGTGATTTCTGTATTCCTCCAACAAAGTACACAGAATGGGACAGGCGTGATTCAGAACTGGTTCATCAGCATTGACAAAGGACTGTACTAGTATTTGGACGTTTTAGCCCATACAATTCACACACACTCTGTTAAAGCTAATATTGCAATTGAGGCCGGTGTTTTAATTTGTATTTCAATATATTTCATTATCACTGTATGGTACTGCACTTTGAGATATCTGCACTGCTTGAACTAACAGCAAAATGGTGCAAAGTTCACCAAAACAGCAACGAGAATGAGTGTTTTCACATGTTCACATACTTTGATGAACGAAAATAAACCTGGATTGATTTGTTGCCTATGGGTGTGGGCTCTGTCTAGCCGTCTTTCCATTAATTTGGTGAATAATGGTCCCGATCAGCTCTCATTACACTCTTATTATCACTTATTTGAGCTATCCCCAAAGTGTGTCCTGATGGGCGTTATCAGGCATACATTATGTAGTCTGACTTTGGCTTGACTTAGGTTTTGTTTGTTTAATTGTTACATGTGATTGATACAATCGAAAAAGGCGGAATACATCAAATCTTTTCTTCCAAGAAGATAAAGCTTCCAAACACACTTGTATCATTCTTTAAAACCCATATTGCCTTCTGGGTTTCTGCTTTCACTTGCTAACACTGAGAAGTAAAGTGTAAGTAAGATGGAAATATCACTGGAAGCAACCACGGATATTTCAGGACATGGACAGTGCACATAATCACATCCAAATAGGAGGAATGCTTTTCAGAACACTGCTCTGTAGTGACGACTGAGAGAGTACGTGTGTGCGAGAGCCAGTGTTTCACACTGCAATGAAAACAAAGCAGCAGAGCGTGAGACCCTGTGGCTCATTACTGCATGGTCAACTCATCATGCAGGAAGTCAGGGTGAACAGTCTCCTCTCAGCCATTCTGTATGACAGCACACACTGTTTGATTTAGGGGATGAATCTGACACTCTTTATATTGAACTAGTCCTATTAGCATATTAGCTCTCATCTAATATGAGCTTTATCTTTTAACTAAAGCTGTAATGACACCTACGATGCCTAATTTGACTCTCCTTGATGTTAGCACCATCACGGTTGAGATAAAAGTATAATTTAGAGAAAAACGAAATGCTTTCTTCAGATTATAATACAATCTTAACGATTATGCTTTAACTTTAAAGAGCCATTGGCAATCCAATGATAAAGGAGGATCTCAATATGAGGAGGCGGTGTTGTGTGCAATCTGCAGACTCTGCCACAGATAAGAGCCGTTTCTTGGTTACTTGTGAGAAAAGAAGGGGGTCACTGAACTACACTTTGGGGACGCCAGTGAGGGGCAAGTCTCTAAATGAGGGGATCCATGTTAGCATATTTCCATCCCAGTGGCTCCTTAAATGGATACATTGTACGATTATCCAAGTGATGCATAGGAATGCAATTAGAAACATGGTGTATTTCACTACTGCCGCTATGGGTTTCTGAGTTTAATCTCGTTCTGTTGAATGTCTCTGTGGACATGAGCATCGGCAGAATGTCAAAACTACTGTGTTAATGTAATGTGAGTTCCTCCCAGAAGGCACAATGTCCGACTGTAGGAACATAGGCTGTGAGCAGCCACATAGAATACACAAGTTCCTGTCCGTGGGAGGCTTTGTGATATCCGCAGATTACACAGTCAGACGAGGATAAAAAAGAAACATTATGTTCAGGGTGAAAAATGCGGAGACAGACATACTGATAATTCACGCATTTTCTGTCTCTGAGGTGCTCTGATGAGCCAAGATCTTCAATGTATCAATGATGCTGGCCTAACATTCTGATATTTAGCAAAACCAAGTCAGCTCTGAATCATTTAGGAAGCTTTTCAATCAAGTAGTTTTATATTACAGTTCTTTTGATCACAATACTGGCCATTCTTTCTTTTGTTTTAAAGATATTTGCGAGACATCAAAAAGGGTTTTGTGTGAAGCAAAGCATCAAGATAACAAGATACTGTACATCAAGAATGTTTTATATCTACAAACTAAAAGCATGCCCTGTATCATTTGACTTTAATCTTTTCCCTTCAGTATCGCACAAACCCTGACTGTTAAACAGCAGATTTGTGTGTGTTGTGCCTCGGAGGAAGTGGTGGATGGCTGGCTGTTACTTCTTAAAAGTTGTGGGTGGTTATATTTATGATCAATCACAGAGTCTACATTTGTATCTAGAGTATACTCTAAATGTTAATAAAGGAGAGTTTTTTCCTAAAAGAAATCCAGATCTAGAATCCAGCACTAACAGTAAGCCACAATTCAGTTATCACTAGGGCTGGTATCTAATATAAGAATTAGGAAGGGAAAATTAAATAGTAAAAGATTGTGTTCTAAGTCGTCGTAGTTTTTTTTCCCAATTTCATCCTTACCTTTATACAGATTTGGATCCAGATTAAATTACCCTTTTTATTTTGTTCTACTATTAAAACTATTAGATTTTTCAAGGACTATGGTGGAGGTATCGCAGGTCTGTGTGCTGATGTATACCTGAGGCTGAAGATTACTCATTTTGATCATAAGTCTTTGATTCTTATATCGCTTTGAAAAGCTGTCAAGTCTTTACTGACGCCTCTTTGAGAAGTTGCTGATTAAAACTCTCCCTGGACTTAGTTTGTGTAATTGCATGCAACAGATACTATAACGCCAGACATCTCTGAGATACACAACATGATGTGTTATTCATAAAGTCTGTCTCTCCTTATGAAATGTGACGCCTATTAGTGTAACAGAATCTTCTCATGAAAAATCGTATCATCTGGCACAAAGTGATGCCACAATTCATTACAGGAAACATGGAACAATCCTTTCAAACTGTTGCCACATTTAACTTATGTGATTTCAAATATAAGATAACATTTATTTTAGAGCAATATATTTAAAAAGGAGTGGCATATTTAGTATTTCTCAAAACCACAACAACAGCAGTACATATGTGCGTCATTATGACAAATAATATTTTATATATTTTTTTAGTTGGGCAGTCAGAGAAATGTTGATTAAAGTTTTGAGTCATCCAGCAGTGGAAGACACTGAGACAACAAAAAATCAGAGGCCACAGAAACATAAACTCATATATGAGATCTAAATTGGTCTCTTGCCACAGGAAACACAGCGAGCAGTTCCTCCATTTAATTTGCTATAATGTCATTAGGGATGCTACATTCAGTATTTAACTAAATGGAATAACTCATGTATTACATCTTGCTCTGAAGAGATTAAATGAACAGAAATAAATTGGCCTTTCGACCTGTGAATATGCACTTTGTCTTCCTTTGACATAACGCTGATGTGCTTACTCATATTTTACAAATTACAGATTTTTTTAGAAGAACAATTGCATATCTGAATTTCAAAGCCGCACAAATATCTGGATTTTATAAATATATGACTTTTAAGTAAGCACATTATCCGCTGTAGCAAGGAACCGAGGGTGTTGCATATTTCACAGTACCCTTTTACAATTCGGACGTAAGAGCTTTCATATGGAGGGTCCATGTATAATTCTTCATACCATCATTAAACATTAAGTAATTAAGCAACAGTTTGACACATGACCAACACTTGAAAATAATTCCTTTTTCTATGTTGTGCAATCATTTTTTATTTCTCCCGAATGGATTTTATATAAAAAAGAAATGTTACAGGTTAAAAACGACTCTAATTCAGATGTTACTTTTTATGCTACTGATGGTCATTACCTACATGATGTCTTCTAAAATGTATTCCAATCTAAGAGTGTGTGTGCTTGAGTGAAAGGTGTCTTTAATCTTACCTCTTTCAGAGTGTGAGCTTGCTGCAGTAAGTCTGCTCTCAGTCTTTCTGCCTGCCTCACATGGAAGGAGTTGCTCTGACTCTGGATGACGAACACTATCTCCCGCAGGTCTGGAAGAACACACAGGACAAAGCTGTGAGACTGCTCACACGCTGTGAAAAAGGATCATGGCAATCGATGACCTTCTGAGAGCAGGACAAGATAAGAACCGCGGTGTGAATAACTGAGGTGGTTTAGCTAATCTCCATGATTGGCCTGGTGATAATAACCAGCACATCAAGAGCTTAATTGGCTCAGTGAGAGAGTATGTAAATGTCACAGCCCAGACTGTGTTACTTAATAAAAGATTAGCAGTCAGAAGAGTCTTCCTCTGAGGTGCCGTATCCTCCCTAAAAGGTGGACACGGCCCAGCTGTCCACTTCATTCTGAGCTGCATTCATATTCAAACTCAGAATTGTTGCTGCATGGTAAGGCCAAGGTTAACAGGGACCCACTTGCTCAGTTTGAAAAGCGGTTAATGCGGGCTACTTATATGCTGACAATATGCTCAGATACCATCTTTGTCATTGACTCAGAGGCCTGTAGTTCCTCTTTATGTGAAATCCATTTACAGGGCAGCAGCAGTGTTACAGCTCAGTGAAGAATGACATTGGCTGCACAAACACGTCCACATAAACCCGGTGGCTCTCACGACCAGTACAATCAAAACTAGACCACAGGACCGGGGGGGAGGGAAAAAAAAGATCTGCCATTCTGTCTTTGGCTCTGTACAATCACATTTGACATCTCCTTAATCCGTTAGCTGTCCCTCAAACCAACCTGAAGTCTGCAGGAACTGGCTGGAATGAATGTGACAACAAAAAGGCTTTTCAAGAATTAAAAAAGCAGAGAGTTGGGAGCCAATATCAAGGTGTCAAATACAAAGAAAAGCAGAAGACATGTCAAAGATTTCCTGCTATGACAGGCAGCTCAGAAACTTCCCAATAACGAGATGTACTGGGATTTTACTTTCCTCTTCATTTAGGCTCAAACCAAAATAACAGGCTTTGTGCAAAACAGAACTTGCTTGACGTTTTAATTAGCTACTTAAGTATGTGTGCAGCATATAGTCAGAAAGGGTGTACCAATCATAAATTATGATCACCAGAATAACTTTTTCCCATAAAGCTTTGCAAAATGTGCTGATTAATGAAATGTAGTGTTTTAAAAAATAAATTGGTAACAGCCACTAGTGACAGGACTCTTATCTTCCCAGTGGAATATTGCACAGGCAACAAGAGGAAAAAGGGAAAGGGCGAGTGCTGACAATGTCTGGATTAGATGGATAGCCTCCTCCTCAATTACACTTTAACCTATTCCCCCCCTGGGTAAGCACATTAACAGCGGGTTCAGGGGTAGACACTATATCAGGGTACAGTATCTGTGTCACATCTTTTTTAATTAAGTGTTGGTGGGTGTGACTCCCCTTTGCTCCGCTGATAACAAAGGTCCCATTGATCCTGGAGCCCTGGAGAAGGGGGGGATTTACTTACTAAATCTCAGCATGTCCATCTCCCAACAGATCTAACCTCCAGCGGGAGCTAAGCTTACAGAGCGAACACCACCTCTAAATGTCCTTCTGCTGAGTTTGCTAAATGAATGGCTGTGTGTGTGCATGTTTTTTTTCACATAAAGCAGTGCATTTTAAAGCCTCAGGTGAGCTAGCAGCTTCCTGATACTGCACAGTACAGCAATATCGGCTGCATGAGACAAACAGCAGAAATCAGATAAGAAGGTTGCCGATTCCTCATTCTGCAGATAATGCGAACCCCTGATGTCAAAGCAGAGGTGAATCCGGGCCAGAAAACGAAAGTAATTAAGACTGAATTCACGTGCCTCATCTCCGCACTAATGGCTTTCGATTAATCATCAAACAACATGGAGAAAAGGAAAAGTCCCGTTATAACGCCCTTCTTCCTCCACCTCCATCATTCTGTGCCCTTCTCCTATCAGGTAAAAATCACCTCTCTGCAATACCTTGACACTCGCAGCAGCCAATGCAAGATTACAACGGTGAAATCGATATGTCTACCAGTATTTAATTATAGCACAATCTACGCCTTTGACGCCAAGGATTCCACCTTTTAAGTGGATGTGTGAGATGATCCACGGATGCCTCTGATCTGAAAGGAATATGAATAAGAAAACATCCAGAATGCTTGTAGCTTGCCCTTGCATTGCTAGGGTGTTATAAGAGGACGTTAAAGGGGCCCTATTAAGCTTTTTTGAACATCCCTTTTCTGTTGTGTGTTATATAGATTTTAGTCCTTTTTTTTACTTCCACGAGAAAGTTACTTCACTACGTAACACTTGTTCTTCTATTGGCTAGCGCCTAAGCATAACATAGCCGGCCAGCTAACCAATCAGAGCAGACTGGGCTCTGGTTTCAGACAGAAGATGAAAGGAGGTGCTGCAGCACAGGAAGTATGAGGAAAACAAAGCACTTTGTGAACATTAAAGTATGTAAACATGCCACAGTAGCGGCACAAAATACAATTATAAAACCTGAAAATGGTTATAATAACTTCTACTTAGAAGCTGACTGCGATATAGCTCCATTATATATGAGAGAAGCAAAACCGCCTACGGCTGATATCTTTAACACTTGGCAACTCACACCAAAAGAATCTAAATTGATAAATGTGTCTTGAAAAGTTTAGGAGAAGCCAAGTTGGTAAACATCCTAGAAAAAACTTTTTTTTTTTTTTAAATTACACAAAAATTACATTTGGGTTCAAATAAATTATCATTCTAAAAGGCATGGCACATATCCGCTCGTGTATCTGTAGACTCTTCCCTCTTCTTGTAAAGCCCTTTCAAACTTGAGACTTACAAAGCGCTATATAACTAAAGTTTTATTGTCTTTTATGTGGCAGTTACTAGTGTACAGTATTTGCATAGGATGTTGTCGGGTGTTTGTGGTCACTGCTATAGTTGTTGCTTGACACAATGTATATATTGTTTTTTCAGTTTTTAGAATTGTCACAGAGGGAATGATTTTAGTACCAGCAGTTTCAACTCTAGTATTAATAATAGTATTCCCAGGGGTGCTATTACGCAATCAATTCATCTGCTTAGTAGAAGGGCGAAGATGTGAAACAGCAACCTGGTGCAAAATATGGCAGAAAGCTTGTTTCTGGCAGTTAAGTGAAATACAAGGATGCCTCTTGGCTGAAAATAATATGCCTCGAATGAAATAGATTGAAGCTTGCTCCGGAGACGAAGCCAAAGCCCCGGTCACATTGGAACAGATGATTTTATTTTGCCAGGCTGATGGAACTAGAAAGCATGAGTCCAGTGTTCGTTTGCCTCCCCTCACTCATTCAGCATTCCACTGGGGCCACTTCACAGAAGAAGAAAAAAACGATCAGCCTTGAAATATATTGGATGAAATGAGACACAGGGGAATACTGCCTCTTTCTTTCTCTGATCTTATCCCCTTCTCAATGCCACCCTTTAAGGCCTCCCAAAAGCTGTGTGCAGGCTTGTCAGCACATACAGTAAGAGGAGATAGGATCAGACTGATTAAAGAATCAAGGACAATAAACTACAACGTGTTAGTATTTCCCGGTGTGTGCCAAATACAAGAGGGTGTAGTAAATATCCGCACTTGAAATGTAGATTGTGCGCTCTCGTTGTGGCCTGGCCCTGCAGTGTTGTCACCTCATTGACACAAATCAATAGTGACACTTCCTTAGAGCAGGATGGCAGACGTTGCCAAGTGGCAGAGGAGCTGAGAGCTCACTGACCTCCAGGCACTCCTGGAGCTCTGTCATCTCCATCAGTGTCACAGAGCAGGTGTGTGTAGTCACCAGAGCTGTTTCAGGTAAATTTCCTTCCAGCCTGGACTATCTGCATCCCCAGTTAAAGAAACAATTGTCCACCTAAGGAAACCAACAGAGAGCATGCAGATCACTAGTGTAAATTCAATGATAAACGCCTGCTTGAGTCGAGAGGGATACAATTCTGCAAGTGGAGCCATTAGGCTGTTGCGGTTACAATGAAACCGTCATGAAAGATCCTAAGCTCTTCATTGACAGCACATTTTTCAAAGATGACTGAGGATGTCAATAGCTCATTTCCATAGGCTGACTTTCTCATCCAGCAGCTGCTTGTGCTGCTGTAAAACCTGCTCCACTCCAATGACTCACATTATTGAACTCCCCGAGACAAAATGGCACAGAATCATCCTTCTACTAAAAACTCCATCCCTCTCCACCTCACGTCCAAAAACGGTGCATCCGAAAGACATTCCACACTGAAGAGAATTGGGTTGCAGTTTCCTGGCCAAACTAACCATGACCGTCACACCACCAGGATTTAATAGCCAATCCACAGACAGCAGGTGATATCCAATCTGGTAGCCCAAATTCAATATTGCAAACTTTTTAGTCTGTTGAGTTTGATTTAGCCGCATAAAAATAATTTACCCTCCCTATAGGCAATCATCTGGTGTGGCACAGGCCTATGTCTCATACAGCAAGTGAAACGATTTTCCATCAGCCCTCTTCTCATATTCATACAGACTTTTAATTGCCTCGCACACGATCAATAGAGAGCATGGTGTATTTAACTTTCAGCCTGCTGCTGAAAAGGTCAGAATCATAAATATCTCTTAGTAAGTAGAGAGGAAAATAGAAGGGGTGAGAAAGGAAGGAAGTGAAAGGAAGCAAACCAATCGAGTGATGGGGAGATGCACCACAATTGCAAAAAGAGGAAGGGAATAAATGTGTGAGAGAGAGATAAGGTATATATAAATATATATATATATATATAGATAGGGGAAAGCTATGAGAAGAAGTAGTGATGCAAAGACTCACAAAACAACCACACAGTAAATGCAACACGTCAAATGTTGGGAAAAAGGGTCTCCAATTTGTGTTAATTACTCTCATTAGAGTTCATAACCCTATGGACAAGTGTGCTGAAGACTAATGAGAGTTGAACTTAACCTTTAGACCTAATTTAGAATCAATAATTCAGGAAGCTAGGACAATTAAAGCTTAACAGATTCCAGGGTTTGCTTACAAAATCCATTCATTATTCATAATAGTATTATTTGACACCACTTGGAAATAGAGTTATTTACCTGGCTTCTGAAAGGCTGATTTCTGTTTTTGATGGATGAATCATTTCATAGCCCATACATCCATATATGCCAGCACTATTTGGAACCATTTTGAGAATGCAAGTGCGGTGTTCATTTAATGAGGAAAATATAGTTATTGGCTGTGTTTAGAATAGGAAATACAAACAAGCAGAAACAACGACATGCAGCCAGGCACAACATGAGGGGTTAAGAAGCAGCTAAAGAAAGGTTAATACACAGGGAGTGTGGGTTGGTATGCAGGAAGAGTTAGTTTAATATCTTGTGAACATTCTACCTTTTGAAGATGCAATGCGAAGCTGGCTCTGAGCCACTTCATGAATATAATGCCACCTCTGAAGGGACAGTAGCACTGCTTTCCTGGGCCAAATAATTGTTACAGTGACAATCTGATTTACATTCTGGCACAACCTCTCTGCTCTCAAGCAATTCCATTCATTGTTTGTGGCACAGAGTTTCCCTGTGTCCTCAACGACGCTGTTCTAAGAAAAATCCAACTTTAAAAATAAAAACTGCTAAGTCAGTGTTACTTGCGCCTGCTGTTTGCTGGAATATTTGTCTTCCTCCCACATATAAAGAACCAAAGCTACAGTCATTTTTTTCTCCAACAACACCCGCGTTGACAATTTGATTATGGTGCTATTCCCTTATAGTCAAAGAGGAATGGTTTATTTCCATATGTGCGACAAAGTCCAACAATCATTGAAGGAAACAAAGATGAATGACCAGGATAAACTGTAGAATCCGAAAAAAAGGTAGAAACCATTATAGAACTGAGCCAAGAATTGTAGTTTTAAGAACATAAGAGTAAATAATAACACACTGCTTCAGTTGCAGTTACTTGGCGAAAAATAAGTATGTCCATTCAAAATATGATTTCAACACGTTTGTATATGTTTCGTATATTTTGTACATGTTCCACAGTTAATCGTCTCCATAATATGGTTGAAGGAAAACACTGTGCATCAAAACCCAAGTGTGAAAAGTCTCTTTTAATGTACAGTAGGGCCTTGTCATTTCTTAGGTTTTAGTGGTAGTCAGTGTAAAATCCTTTAGGAACAAGTAGCAAGATAACATCTTGATTGAAAACACAAAAAAAAGATAGATAACTGCAATATAGCAGATGAAAACTTGTATATCTGCACTGATTAGAGTGAATGACTAAAATGAAGAAAATTCGGAGGAATACGATAAACCCCCCAATAAAAATAAAAAGGTATATTATGTAAAATCATAGTTAAGTAAGTAATACATTTTTGTTATGGTCTGGGGGAAAGCTAACTGGATTATAATCGAAACTGCCTATGTTAATGTAAAAATATGAATATCGGATGCAACATTTTATGAAATGATGACACCATAAACATTTAGATACATTTCCTATAGTCACGCTTTCACTCTGCAATCCGGTCCGCCCTGGGAACAATCTGCAGGGAAATAAACTCGATTTAAAGCGAAAACAAAGTGTGACAAGTGACAACCTTTGTGCAACAGGAAGAGGATAATGTGTTCCCCCAGCTATAGCAGTTACCAAAAGAATATCGTTTTTTGTAGTTTCCATCCTAACCATGGAGATCAATATAAAGTGTGTCCTATGTTGTTGGCAGTTACTCTGCACTGAGGAAAATGGAAAGTGATTGAGTTCTCTTTGTAACGGATGCATCAACAATAGTATGATTGGAAATGCCAGGTTGGGAAAACATGTCAGTTTCCACTTTAACAGCTTCTCTTGTACAAATACATGACTTCCCTGTACTCCACATGAATGAATGTGTACTCTAAAACAGGAGCAGTAAGTCAGAACACATTATCTGAAACTACCCTCTATCATTTTTAAGTTTAAAAGAAAAAGGTTCTTGAAATTCCACATCATTCATTTTCTGTGAATCTTCTACTGTGAAACTGCATATAAAACCTCCTTTGAACTATTGCACATTTTCTTCTTCAGACGACCGGTCTCAAAGTGAAGTGAATTAACTGAATTGATTGGGCTAGACAGCCAAAGGCCTTACACGATTTGGGATATGAGAAGACGAAGAAGAACTGGGATGCAACAGTAAACTGTGTTAAAAACAGACATTTGTTGCTTGTATTGTAGGAGATTGTGTTACAATCAGTAGGGGGTTAGGGCCCTGGGCACGGATAGAGAGCGTTTTAAGCAATCATATTTTAATCATGCCATTTTGAACAATTTATTTTCCTTGGGCATGTCTGTAGGTGAAGTTCTCCAAGGTTTTAGCTATTCATGTTGCTAATCTGTAACAATAGTCAAACCTCAAAAAATGTAAAACACTACATGCCACACAATACTGTATGCCTAGAGGACTTGCAATGATTTTTGTATGTGAATGTGTTATTTTAGATATGCATAGTGTACAACTGCATAATGCCCAATTTCATTAAATGAAACATCAATCCCTTTTAGATTTGGCACATTGTGTTTACTCCGAAGAAACATTGTTTTGTGATTACATGGAACATCTTCTAAAAGTCACCAGCTCCTTCAGAAAAAACAACCCGGGTATAACTTTGCTGTTCTCTGTATTTTAACACAATAGAAAGCCAAACTTTCCTTTATTCATCTCCTGAATGCCTGCCCACATATAATTTTCTCTGCAGGCGAGTGTAGCTTTTCTGCCGTGACAGAGGACAATGACTATAGTGGTGCCAGATAGTGAAGCTCCAATTTTTTTTCGAGATAGCTGTCTGTTTGTATTTTCTCTCTGTGCTGAGGTGCCAAATGAGAGCATTATGAAGTTGCTTTTGTGCGCCTTCACATCTGTGGTGACCCAGTTGAATGAACAGGCAGAGGTCCAGGAAGCTCCAAACTCCTCTGCAGCCTCCCAAAAATCACTGAGGGTGATTGTATGAGCTCCCTGTAGCATGAAAGGCATGCATGAGATCCTTTTTTTTGCTCTACTTATGAAATTCCTGGTTGCTGTCAGATCGATAAAGAGATGGGACTATATTTATGAAAAAGTCAGAGGAACTGTGGAGATTACATTTTCACGACAGGCATCAGACAAAAGCCCTTTTACCAACATATTCAAATGTCACCCTTTCCAACATTTTTCATTTCAAGATTCACTAGTTATGATTACATAGAGTGACAATGTTTTTCAATACTGTTCCTTTGAATGTCATCCAACATTCCTGTTTCTAATACAGACAGACTCAAATATCAAAACAAAGACCCAATGATGACCCAACTATTAAAGACAGAAGCAATATCTTTGATGTGAATACAAATGTTTATAGACATAATAATTGCTCTAGTCTCTGATAACATCTATTAAGCATATCATGATTTCACAGGGAGCATCTGTTTTTTATTTTATTTCTTAAGAATAAACATAGTTACATTTGTATATTCAGGAGGGAGATATTTGTCGCTTGTAAATGAAAAAAGGGGTGCGTTGAGAACTGCCTTTTTTCTCGTCCCTAGCATGGTGTCCTTGATAAAGTCTTTAATTTGTCCCTTCACAGCGCATATATTAGTTAGGACATTTCCACCAAAATTATTAGTTTATTAGAAAGTATACTGTAAAAATTATAGGTGTGATGAACCTTTCTCCAGTCATATACTTATTATTTTATTTATGTACTTTTTATAACGTGGCATATGTAGTTAGGCTACTTTTCATGACGCAACGGATATGCCCCCATGGACTCCTATCTGCAATTAAGTTATATGTAATGTGTCATTTTAAAAGTAGGGTCATTTAGAGCCATTCTCCTAAATGGAAATGCCTGAAGCGTTGTGCTTCAGTGAGTGTTTCATTGGCACCCGTGTGTACAGAATATTTACACTGAAATGACAAGCCATTTATTTTATGTTCTTTCATTGTTTTATTTTCCTACATTTTCGACTACTTCAATTGGATATGAATGAGACTTACCCAGTTGATTGTGGTGGATGACATGCATATCATCTTGGCTCTGAAAAGACAGAAATACTTTTTTCAATAATTACAGCAACAAAACTTTTCTTCAAACACATCTTCAAATAATGACCTATATACATCCACTTCTACGTTGAACAAAAGATGCAGAAAATGTCAAAACATGGCTTGTGTTAAGGAGCTCAGTTTCAGCTAAATACTCCATTTCGTCTTCCAAATCATTAATTAAGGCTTAGTAAATGAGGAAAGCCCTATGGGTTATTTGGAGAAATAATGGGTGATACCCCACGTCATTAGTCCTTCTTAATTGTGTGGGTTTTGTGCCTGCAGCATTTAAGCTCAGCGCATTCGGCTCAATTAAGGCACTCAACACTGTTCCACCTCCAGAGCTGTCGGGGTACGCTGCAGACCGTGGAGGGATGAGTAAATCAATCACAAGCCAAGCTAACTTGAAGGGTTGTCTTTTACCTCCATTTTTCAGAGGAAATATTTCAGTATTGGGAGAAGGCGAGAACGTGCAAGTTCTGGCTCTTTCAAGAACTCAAGAGCGGCAGAGTATTAATAGATAATGACAAACCCAGGCCTGATTTGATTTATGACTTCCTCTAGACTAACAATCATTTTACTGGCAAGCTGTTGCAGCCTTCAGAGAGCTTAACTAAGTCATAAATTCACTCTCGGTGGGTGTGGCGCAGTGGTTACAGAGAATCACTTTTGGTGGCTGTTGTGTGAAGAAGCCTATATGTAACGTACTATCTCAGCACATTTGGAAGGAGGGCAATTTTCATAATAGAAAAAGAAACCTATTAATTTAGTCGATTTCCTGCACATGAACAGTTTCATATGGCTGTCATGACCACATATCATTTATTTTTTGGAGGGGCATTTGTTTCCTTCACTGTCGTATCTTTCCTGTTATATGAATCAAATCCTGAATCAGGAGTCATGCAGGCACATTTTCTGATGAAAGAAATGACAGAAGGAAGTTCTCCATATGCACAGCGATGTGGCGTGCATATGTAAGGCTCTTTGCCTTTCCTGATTCTTCAGGTGATCAGAGTTAAAAAGGCAAATATATGCACAGGCAGGCAAGATCATATCAGGATGATTTAATTCAGTGGGTACAAGACATCAGCTTAATTGGACTCAGTAGCATTAGTCAAGCCTGCAAGGTTTCTGTCTCATCTTATCAAACACTACTCTGAAATCATTTCCTCAGCTGAAGAGAGAGGGCACCTCGAGGAAGGAATGCATCTCACATACCTGGAGAATCTGACTCGTTATCAGATAATAACTCTAATTGAAGCTTTGGTAAAGGCTAATACTCATAAAACAAAGTTGGTCGCTGTGACAGAAGACTGGCAGCTGCAAGGTTTTTCGCTCATTCTTCTCCGACAGAGAGGAGACAGAAAATCAGTGCAATGTAACTGTAGGAAGAAATAAATCAAGACCTTCGAGGGATGAATTAAGTGGTTGCTGAAACTTTACCAATATTATTGAGTTGTGTGTGTCTGTAATGCATACAAGTGAACTACATGACACTACTGTAGATAAGACCTAATGTTTTATGGCAGGTCTTAATCAAACTTCAATGAGAAATCTCTAAATCAATTTGTAATGTTGCTGCATATTTCAGAAGTTATTTTATAATGAGCTGTTGTAATATAGGCCTTGTATTGCCAGTATTACAAACAACTGTGTAGCGTTATGTTGTCTGTTTAGCCTTCAAGCTCATTAATGCATTACTATTCCTCCACTTCTCAGAGAATATGTTGTTATTTCTGTATCTAATATTTAGATTGAATGCCTATATATCAGGTTATGTTGTATTTATACTTGTTTTAATGCTTTCCTACCTTTTTCATTATGACTATTATAAAACTCCAATGCTCTGTAGGCAAAATTTAATTATCATGCAATTTATCCTGTATTTTTAAACGGAACTAAAACGATAAATCAATGTTTGTTTGTTTTATAATATACATAAATATACGATCAAATGTAATCAAGGTGAATGAACGTGTTTAAAAAATCATTCTTTTGATCTTTGAATCCTGTACGTTGATCACTCTTCAAAAGAAAATTGCAGCAGTTGAGTGACACCAGGGCTACAAATCTGTCTCTGGTAAATGATCTTATAATCTGCAGTAAAATGAACTCAGATCAAGTCAAACATCGTTTTTGCCATTACCGAGAAATGAATTATCCTCAGCTTACAGAGCTCAACACTTTCTGGCCTTGTATGCTTCTGCACGCAGGTAACGCTCTCCCTAATCCTATCTGACAGCAGGCTGTCAGCCATTTGCAGCAGAATCAGAAACCCATAGTTGTTTGAAAAGGAATTGCTATGAGTCTACACTGTCTATCCATCTGAAGGGGTTAGTTTCACCATGCCGTGAGCGCTTTTGGTGTGTGGCACCTCAGCACTGATGTAGACAGACAGAAATGTTGTGCCTCGTGTAGCTAAACCTCAGAACAGCAGCACTGCGGCTACGGTTTTCCCAAAAGAGGTGTAGAGCGAACTTCTTGAAACTATGCTTAATGTGATCGTTACGTTATCAAGGACATAAGCAAAGACAACCCTTTGAGCCCTGCCTTTGATTTGGCGGCTCTTCAAAGACTTACAAGGCAAAGCTCCTGCCCCCTGCGACAGCTCTCAATCCCGAGGGCTCAGACGCTCCACTGATGTGTGTGACCTGTCAGGTCGCGTTAGCTTTCTCTTCACTGATGGAAACAATGATTCAAGGTTGCAGGACTTTCTGAATTTTGACATATGAGAAAAATGTGCGATGTTACCAGACGCTGGCTGTCTAGAAGGACTTTGAGATCCTTGGGAACCGAGGAGGACACAGTTATTAATGGTGGCCCTTCTGTATTTAAATTAAGTGAGGATTCAAATGGTTTGTCGGTAAAGTGCAAATTGTCAGCTTAATTGAGAGGAGGCTTTCAGATACATTGAGGTGTTTAAGAATTAAAAGGCCTTTTGTATGCTTCCTTAATATCAGGGTGCCAGAAGAAGTGACGGATAAAAATGTTATTCATAAGTAATTCTATATTCACAAGTAAAAGCCCTCAATGTGTGATGGGTTAATGGCTTGAAATGTCTGCTGTCTTTGAACATTAGCAGGCATTTCTTCATATCCTCTTTCTGCATTTAGTTGACTTTAAATGGAAAATAGGAAAAAAACAATGTTGATAACAGTCATTCCAGAATCAGGCAGTTAGCATCCCTGAAAAGAGAACCTAATAGGGAGCCATTCACTGGATAGTTACATACATGACATCATGTTAGAGGATCAAGGTTGAAGCTGCATGTCTCAGATAAAAAGTCAGAACCCTAACTAGTTGGTGATCTACGAAGTAGACATATAAGGAAAATTGATAGACGAGAGCATTTTTCTTTTTAAGTTAAACCCAGTGCACTGTATATAAAAGTATATTTACTAGAAGTCTACACTTCCCAAAATAGACAGAAGATAAATACTACAAAGTGCATGTGTTAATTGTGGACAGGCTTTTTATATAACCCGTAAACCCACATGTAGTAAATGATGCATTCCTTTGCTTTAACATCAATGCTCACCGAGGCCCACTACTAGTTGGCAGACTTGCAGAGGATTGCAGGTTAGTGCAGAAACTGTAAACACACTGTGAAACATTCTTTCTCTAATGCTTGAAAAGGCAAAAAAAAAGACTTTATTTTCTAAACTCTTTAAACGCTGAATTCTACTCTTATAAAATAAACTATGCACACTGCTCTGGCATGTGCCCGAAAAGCAGCAATAAATATGTCGTCAAACAGCAATAAAGTTGCCAACTTGGCAACACTGAAAAAGCATAGTAATTATATGTAACTTTAAAGAGCATCTTGCAGGTTGTTTTTTTCTTCTACATTTATGCTTAAACTTGCTTGAAAATTACAATTAAAAAGTGAATGTAGGATTTGATATGTTTTACGAGACATAAGGGCAGGAATTCAGAGGGAAAGGAGCAATTTTGAGCTCTGCTCTTAAAAACAGCTTTTTTTTAAGGTCATACGTCACACGCGTCATATTACATAACAAAGGGTAAACATCTCCGCTCTCTGACCGNTTGTTTGTATACTTGTTCGGGCAAAGGAAACTTTGTGGCTTCTCTGTAACTTTTTTTTCGCCGTTCTTTTTCTTTGAGGATTTAATTCTAGCGGAGCTAACCCAGAAGTGTTTTAAGAGCACCAGCGTGACGCATCTGAACGAATCAGTTGTTGAAAGACACTCAGCCAATGAGATTTAGTTTCTTGTTAGACCCTTTGTGCTTTCACGATGTTGCTGATACAAAGGAGAATGACCATATTGGATCGATTAGATTGTGCAGGAGAGACACAGCTTCTAGACGAATATCTCGTGACATGGTGCACACAGCGGTCGGTCTATTTGTTACGTTAGAAAGCTACTTTGGTGGCGTAATTAGGGAGGAAATCTGCGACGCAAATAGACAAACTATAGTCAAATAAAACGTTAGAATGGTAGGGGTATGTGTAGCGGTTTCTCGCGTTCCAGAGGAGCGGCTGAGAATAGAAACAGTGGTTATACGAATCAAAATAGCGCCGGAAATCTCAAAATTGGACCATTGCTTGAAAACGCATGTTTGCCTGCGTGTCTCCCTTAAGGTCAGGAATAATGAGATCCTCAACTCGCCCCTCTCGCACCTCCACACACGAGCCCCCCCCCATATTCAAATCCCAACTTAACCCCTGTTGTTATGAACCTTTTTCGTACTCTATATCCCCAAAAAGGGGGCGGCTCCTTCCCACCTCTTATTGTCTTACTTCGGCTGTGAGTGTCGTGTGTGTGCTCAGGAGGAGGTCTCTGAGTCGTCGCTGTATCGTGCCAACCCGAAGCCTGATCCGTCCTCGCGAGTCAGATCTGCGGGAGAGACGAGGCCTCCACACTGCCGAACGCAGGTCGAGTGTCTGGACGCACTGGGTGCTCACAGGGGAGGGGTGGGGGCAGGAGCTCAAAAAGCCGTTTAGACAGAGTGAATACGTGAAGTACACGA